CCTACGTAACTCCTACGTTAAAATAAAAAAGTTAAAAAAATTGTGCATTAGAGGGGTATGTTTGGTAAAATGAATGAAGCAGTATTGACACACTGTTATTAACTGAAGTCCATAATTTACATTAAGGTTCACTTTTCTTTGTTGGCAATACCAGTATTGGATTCTTTAACACTTTTTAATAATTCAGTTTTCTCTGCTTGCATATTCTTCCCCCAATTCTGGCAAGATTCTCTTCAAGGCCAAATATGAATATCACTCTTCCTGCAAAGCCTTCTCCGACTGTTTATTTTTGGAATGGGGGCTGAAAAGGAGGGAGGAGACAGAAAAAGGAAAAGGAAGAGAACTCACGTTTTGATCAGGTGCCTAGTGTGTGCCAAATGCTGTATATGTCCTTTGAAATCTCTCTAGAGTCCTGTCAGATAGATGGATATTATTGCACTCTTTACTGTGGGGAAACTGGGGTTAACAAGTCGCCCAAAGCCCCACAGCCAGTAACTGGGTTTCCACACAAGTCCGCCTGGCTCCAAAGTCTGTACTCCTCCCACTCCCTCTCACAAAGCTGCATTCTTCCTACTAATCTAGCCTCCCCACTCTCCCCTCTGGATGAGAACTCCACTGGAGTGAGGAGCACCTACAGCAGCTCACCAAACCCATGGGGGTGTGTCCTAAAGGCAGAGTTAATGTAGGAAGAGGCACCAGACATTGACATCAGTTCAGCAAATACTCGTTGAATTCCTGCTATGCGCTGGACCTGGTGGAGGGTGAGGTCAAGCATGAGAGCAAAGTGATGGCAGTGCTGTCGTGCAGGTCATAAATCCCCGCCAGGCAGAGTCAGGGGTTTGCTTGTCCACGACTAGACTGTAAGCCGCAGGAAAGCAAGGATTCTCTTTGTTCTCCACTGCAGCCCCTAAGGCAGTGCCTGGTAATAACAGTTGTTTAATAAATACTTAGGGATTGAGTGCTTGAATCCTGTTGCCAATTTGGGACGCCTAAAGAGACACTGAGCTGCTCAGAGTTCTCCCGTGCATTCAGTTAGTCACCATCCTCAGCCTTGGCGGCTTCGGGTTTCTCTGTGTTTGGTTCAGTGCAAACCTGTATTATAGGCTGTTTCCAAATTATCCCAGGCCTGGGCTTGACCACACTCTTTGCCCAAAAGTTCTTCTGGACCACAACTTTAGGAAAGCTGGGGAAAGAGGAGAGTTGCCTCGCCCCTGCCATCCTTCCAGAGCTGCTGGGTCAGTGATCCTTCCTCGCAGCTACCTGGAGCTCCCAGACCTGACCTCGGACTCGAGTTCCAGAGGCCTGGCCTCCCTTCTGGACTTCACGCAAAGATGACCTCACTTTTCTTGAGGGGCTTAAACCCAACACTAAACGTCATCTGAGGGTAGTCATGTATTCAGATATTCTCATCAGTAATCTTAAAGGAAAAATTTATCTCAAACGTAATAACCTGCTTCAGACATTTGCTTACAAGACTTTTCTTTCCTCTCCCCTCCCTCTGTCCTCTCTCTTCCCTCTCCTCTCCTGCTCTCTGTTTTCCTTGACATCTCTGACCCTGTCTTTCACGTCTATTGCTCTCTCTCCTACATGCTTATTTCCACCAGGGTTCTTCTAAGTGTACCTCCCCCTCCATTTGTCCCGTGTAAATAGATCACTCCGTTCCTGCTGAATAACCAGAATCACAATTGTTGTCTGGTTTGTGCCCAAGGTGACAGAATTGATGGACCTGTAGGCCAATGTTCATAAACCAGAGTTACCAAGCGTTTCAAAAACAGCCTTGTTTTTGCCAAGTAAGGTGAGCAAATATAGGACTAAGTTTAAACATCCATCAGGAGTTATTTTTGAAGTGATTACTTCTAAATGAGAGACGTTTGAAAATCTCACAGCTTTCTTTACAAGTAAATTCCAGAGTCCTGTATTTTGCTGGTGTCTGCTGATTAATTACAATCCTGTGACACCATGAAAAGCCCTGGTGGTTGGTTTTGTGCAGCTGTGGAGGAAAGTAAAGCAAGGCCCAGTGACTCTGCCAACTCTTTCAGGATGGTGGGGATTCGGGCAGAGGGAGGTAATTTTTTCGCTCTGGCAGTCACCACAGAAGAACAGAAGCCCCAGCCAGACCCATTTCTCCAGACTTCACGACGGGCGGTTTGGGTCCCTGTGGGGGTGTGGTGAAGGAGTGATATTTGATCTGTTGCTTCTGAAATAACAGATCCATTATTAGAGAAAGCTTTTTCAGTCTCCACATCCATTGGGACTTGTGTGCCTTCTCCTACACGATTACTTCTGTTTAGGAAAAAAAATTTTAAGTGGCAGTTACATGTAATAAAGTAATCAATTTATTTTGACTCTAAAGAAAATGTGCTCAGCGTACAGTAGATCTCTGACCTGGGAACACCTGCCAGCTTATACCCATTTAGGATCTGTCGGCACTGGATCTCTTTTAGTTAGCCTCTTGCTTTTTCTCATAACATCCTTCCATATTTAACTCTCAGTGATGCCCCTCATTGACAGCAGAGAAAGAAAAGAAAAAGTTGAATCATGTTGCTTAGGAAGAATCAGCTCCGATAAAGGCTACAGTAGGGAAAGAAAGCAAACCAACGATTAAAATAGACTTTCAACTCGATAAAGAAGGTGTGGTATATTTATACAATGGAATACTACTCAGCCATAAAAACAATGACATAACGCCATTTGCAGC